TATGAGCATACATCGATATCCACATAATTATATGGTATTTGGATCATTATTTTTATTATTTACATGATCTTTTGCTCTCTGATGACTGAAAGATATTTCACAGATGAGTTTATTTTTACTTGAATAGTTCGATGGTGTTTAACCCTTTCGTTCCGGGTTTCTTTCGGCAAAAAATAACAAATTTTCAAACTTTGTCAAATTATCATAAGAGATTTATTCAAAGACTAAGAAATGATTAGAAGGCTTGTAGAGTGTGATAGTCGCTAGTTTCTGATATTTGCTCTGAAGTCAAGGCTCTGGTCCTTCTCCGTGAAGTCATTTTGATGACAGAACAAAGTAAAATGAGCTATTGTAATGTATGGCAAACCGACTATTACAAATGTAAAAAATTTCGCTACGTATCTTCACAGCACTTAGTTTCGCAATCAATACTTTAGTTATATATTCTTATAAGCTTTATTGAAAAGAAAAAAGTTAGAAGAGATCAGTACAATAATGAGGAGAAGGAGGCGAATCCATTGTATCTTTACATCATTGACTGCGGACAAAGGACAGGACAAGAAATACATATAAAAACAAGTGACAAGGACAACATAAAAAAGACAAGTACAGAGAAAATAAAGACAAAAAATGAAGAATGAAGAAATAGGCGTACGAGGAGGGAAAGGACGTAGAATTGTTGTGTGTCTTTGATATAAGTTGATATAAGCTTTATTATATTATGTAATGAAGAGAAGAAGAAAAAGAAAAAAGAAACAACTACTGGATAGACATATGAACAGAAGTTATATATTATTGCAGTCAACCATGAATTACATTTACTGAATTTCATTCTCAATTTCTCAAATATATACACATAGTGTAACTTTTACACAAGTTGTGTCATTTGGTGCAAAATAATAGTGCAGAGCTTAATCGTTTAAATTTTCTACTCCAGTTGCTTTTATTGCACGTAAAAATACTCAGTTGTTGTGGAAAATAACATCACATGTAAGAAGCGTCACGTTTTGAAGCAAGAATGGCGTCTCTCAGCTGATAAGTGCGTGCGTCTCGTATACGAGACGCCCGGAATCAAAGGGTTAAGTCTGGAAAGCTTGCAAGCACTGTAACGAATGTAGATGAAGACTCGGGTTTTCACTATTCGAATCTTTGCAAACAGGTTTCAGGAGAAAACAGGTCAAAAAAAATTTCTAAATATTTTCTGCTTACGAAACATGTTCGTAAGTCTTGGCTGTTGAATATCAAAAATCATTTTCATTCGTTCAACAGTTATTCAAAGAATGACCATCGGTCTTATATTTTGGTTTCGAGAATAAATTTAAGGAACAATCGACTAGTGTTGAGTATCGAGTAATCGAGTCTGAGTGTCTCAAGTAGGACTCGGACTAGATGCATATCTAATGAGAATAATTTTGAAATTTTTTGGGGAGGTTTTTAAAATTTATTAGATTAATAGATTCCTGAGAATTTATAGAATATTGTCAGCAATATATTGGGTCAATTTTGACTTTTTTCTACTTGGACCAGTATTTTTTTCCATTATGTAAAACAGCATGTATATTTGAATGCGATCATTCGCATTAGGGCATAAAAAAAGAGAAACGTTCGTTATAGGAAAAGTCTCCCAATCTTAACAGAATAAACGCGCCCGTATTAAAACGTTTAGACCATACGAACGAAAGCTTTTTCAAAAAGCTTTTTATAGATCGATTCTCGTGATTATGGAGAACTTCGCATTTTAATAAACTTTTCATTTTGTCAAGAAATAATGGAATTATATGAACTTTACTCGACTTGAGAACTTTTTCGTTTGCATTAGGAACTTTTGCTCTATATACTCTATTCTTCAGTGAAGAAGAGCATGAAAACATGTGCTCTTTTCAGAACAAAATACATGGTTCATTCGCTCTAGTGTTCCGACTACACCCAAATAAAGTTGAGAAGATCATATGTCACTTGCTAAACGGAAAAAGCTCTTCGAATGAGATGCATCTCAAAACGCCATGTATTTATATGGAATTGTCGAAATTAGAAAAAAAATACGTGTCTTATTGAAACTAGAAAAAAAAAAAAACAGGAAAACAAAAGTTTCGAGACACATGTCTCTTTCTTTTTTGTTTTCTTCCCCGACTGAAAAGGACATACTCTATAAGATGAATATGGAATATACTCATTCTCATCTAAACTAAACAGAATATCCATTATATACAAGCAACTCTTATTTTGTTATCCTATACTTGTGAAGAATATTCCGCTGCCTACTTTTTACAGTTCAGATCTGCTGTTGTCCTGAACTTATTTCATCATGTTCTGGAAGAAAAGTCCGAGTAAAACATGGCTGTCACTTAGTTACTGAAATGTAACTTTTTTAATCTTAACCCTTAGATTTTGAAATTTTTTTACAACTTGATACGGCTTGTCTCGATGTGACTGATGATCTCAGTTGTACACAAAATTACTTTTTGTTGATGTATTAAAATACCTTTTTGCTTAAAGTCAGTTTTTGAGATTGTGTGAGGGTGACACAGTGCGAAAAAAGGTTTTTCTCGTGTATTCTCTTGTGATCTGTTAAATATAATTGAAACTAAAGTTTCAAAGTTCTTCGTTTGTTTCAACCCAAAAAAATTTCAAAATCTAAGGGTTAAGATTAAAAAAGTACATTCCAGTAACTAAGTGACAAATAAAAATGATAGCTAGATGAAAGACGATTGATGAGTGATAGAAGACACTCTCTACTGCCTATTGAGTTTAGGAAGTGGAAATTATGATGTTTGAGAGATATCTCACACGTGAGTTTATTTAATTTGTTTGGTCTGATGATTTGTGCTGATATGTTTTATTTTTATCCAATGTACTTTGTGATCGTTTGCACAGAATATACACACTGAATGTTATAATTAAAGTTCATTTTCGTTTTGCTAGACTATACGAACTTTTATGTTTGTAAGCAGTAGTTTGTACAGTAACGTTTCCTGATTTTTGTTTTGTTTTGTAACATGCATCCAGGAGAAAAAGAGAAGCGATACACTGCCCACTAACTTCCACTTTACAGCCTGCCCAAAAACTGTGAGTTGAGCCCTGTTAGCTGTCTAAAAACCGCTTAGAAAATGTCCTGTTTATTGGCCGTTTAGGTCTGCGAAAGTGCCGTAGGCAAAGAACAGCCAGTTAACTGTTTTGTTAATGACTCATTTATAGCCAGTTAACTGTTATATTTAGTAAACTCTTCGCGGGAAACTCACCGAAGGTAATCTATATCTCATCGTGCATTAGTGCATACCCAATGTGCGATTGATTGATGAGTCAACACTTGATTAACAACAAGTTTCCATTGATTTACGGCGATAGACATTACATTCACAATTTTAATCAAGTGATTACCGTTCCACTCAGTCGACTTTCCAATCTTTGCGCAGCATAGTTGGCATCGGACTCTTTCTTTCTTTCCACACTGTACTTCCATGTTCAAGTCAGACAATCGTACCGGTTATCTCTGATCGTACAGGTTTTGGAAAAGGATAATTCGAAAGGTTGCATAGGTCTGAGCTGATTCTGAGGTTTTGTCTTTTCAGTCCTGAATGAGAGTACATTTAGATATATAATAAACAGCAGGACTGAAAATTTGGCCGTTTAATTTAGTTTTCGAGCTATCTTGATATTGGAATTGCGCCCGAGCTCCTGGAATGGTCTAGTCAAGCAGATAATGCCGAGTTTTGAAGATCAGCAAGTGCATCGGTCGATATGAGCGAGAAAATGCAGTTTCCAAAAAATGAAGTTTTGAAGTGTAAATCTTCTAAAACGTCTGCCAATATGACATGAGGCCATTATTTTATCAGTTCAACTGTTGCTGTGTTTGAGTAGAAGATAGCGTAATCCGTTATTTAAACTTTTTTACTCTTCCCGTGATTTATTAAATTATTTGTAACAGTTTCGATTTCCATGAAATGTTATCAATCTTAAAGAAAAATCATCGGTGTTCAGAACCAGGACTGAAATTTCAAGACCTTGCTAGATTCTTGACTAAAAAATACTGATTTCAGGCATATACATCTGAACATTCACTAATGTAGTGCTTGATACGATAATAAGCTATAGCAGAATGTATGATAGGATAATGGATTAGCTGACATATCAGTGTGAATAATATGATGTATAAGATACATAGACGATATGATTTTCTGAATATTCTAAATTTCGTCTGTTTACCGTTTCACCCAGTCGACTTTCCAATCTTCCCGCAGAGCAGTTCGTCTCTAGTTAAGCCGACCGAGTGAAACTCGGAGAGACTTATTCTGTTTCACTACAAAAAAGTCTTCTTTCTCTCTTCTTTCTCCTAGATCCTACTTTCTATCTCAAGTCAACCACTCGTTCTCAGCTACCGCTAATCGTACAGATTTGGGAAAAAGATCATTCGAGAGTGCAGGGGAGGTAGATGAAACAGCTAAAGTTATTTTTTCGATACATGTTTTAATTATTACCCTGAAGTGTTTCCCAAGATGTTTTAATATACTTCAAGCTGGAGAGTTCGGATTTGTTTTGTTTTAAGCTAGACACCTAATTACATGGTCGAACCGGCGCCGATTTTTCAATTAAGCTTTTATTGATTTTCCAGGCAACCAACAACCTCCAAAACCCGAAAAAGCCGTCCGGATTTTCTAAAAATCGTTAATTTGATAAAAAACTAAGGCCTAATTCAAAAATTGGCGCCGGTCAGACCATGTAGTTTCGACAACATTATTTGCTCACGGGCTTGGGCTTACAGGACGGGAAAAAATTTTTATGTTCGGATTCCGGCTCGTTGCAACAGAAAAGTTTGTCCCGCAGGACTCTAATTCCCACTCGTCTAGAAAACGCAATAGAGCAAAATATCGTAGGTAGACAGAGAGTTACGATACAAGTGAACCAGCGAAAAACAGCTCTCTCTGTTTCTATAACTATAAGGCATACAAATTCCTAGCCTACATAATTCTAACTTTATTTTCTCAAACAAATCTCCTCACAACTCACATTTTCCTTAAAATCACATATGAGTACGTCCTATTTATATTTTCTTCCACTTCTTTTAAACTCTCGTGAGTTTTCATACGTCTTTCAACTTCATTATAAACTTGATCAATAATCGTCACTCTGTCGTCACTTCTCAACGCATTCTTCAAACTTGATTCTGACCAACTTCGTATGAATTCTGTAAACTTGTTTGCTAATTCATCGACGTTAAGTATTCCCTGTTTATATCCTACAAATAATGGTTGTTCCAATTTGACTATTTCAGCTAAGATTAATTCAAAATTTGTTTCCTTCAACGTTTCCGGATTGGTTAACTCATCCAATGTTCGATGATAATCAACAATATTAAAATTCAATAGTTCGTCCTTGTCTAGTACGATAGCAGCTGATTGATAGAGATTTTCGTAGATAAATGCGTGACATCGACCATTGTCATCGTCACGAGCAAGACCACTACATAGGAGAATGGCACCTGAACAACAAGAATTCCGACATTATGATGGTAAATTCACCCAACCTGCTCACCTTTCTTGAGTTCTTTTGATCGCTGTTGCAAGAATAACCGATAATCTTCACAGGCTTGCTCTTTCCAAAGCTGAAATTCTTCTGGTTTGTTATCGGTAACTGAGCAACTAAAACATTGATTCGATAGATTACACGGTTTCTTCGAGAGCCAATGAATAGCAGTTGAAGTATAGCCAAAGTCAACTGTATTCAACGGCAAAATCTGTTCGTAGAATGATCTGCCTGAAGCTAGAGTGAAGCAACGTCTATTTGGTAGACTTTCTTTTACAACGGTTTTAATAAGAGTATTCCAATCATTTGTAGGTAGATCATTGAAGACGATTAGAAAGTCGTCGGGAAATGATCCGTCGCCGCCGCCATCGTACTTCTGGCGTAGTGCAGACAGAATTTCTTGTATTGCAATTAGAGAATTACCACCTTGACTGCAGCCGTAATCAACAATTGTGAATGGGCTAGGAGTAGTAGAGGAAGAAGTTGTTTGATATTCCTTGACCGCTTTTTGAATGAAGGGAAGTGATTTTTGGACGGCAGTTAATTGAGGAGTACTATTTAAGTTGTAATGTTCATTTTGTTTCATTACATTTGTATTTTCAGTTGACGACGGCATTGTACTTTGTACCACAGTGCAAACAGATTGTTTATGTGTGTGAGAGCAAAATTAAATTTATCTTTTCCTTTCCTCTCACAGTATCTATGTTATATGTTTATTTGCAAAATAACTGTGATGCCTAGATGTGAGTGTGGTTTTATAGGAGAGAAAAAAGTGAACTGTTAAGTCAGTGTAAGTATGTATAGCGCCGGCCAACGAGAAATAAACGCTATTCGTGAATAAATTATAGTTATAATAGTATTTTCTGCCGATCGATCAGTTGAGGTCGAACAGTACATGAAAGAAAACAAGTGTCTAATATCGTTCGACAGCGGAAGTGAAAAAGAAAAATTGTGCTTGCCGGGGCCGTTCTAGGTGCAACTACATCGTGCCTTGTAAAATAACGAAAGAGAAAACAAAAAACATGTCAAAAAATGTCCGCATAACAATTTCTTTCCGATGGGTGCCAAAAAGTTTTTGTCTCCAAGTCTTACGATTTAGGAGTTTTCCAGAGATCATGGTCCAAAAAGGATTCTGAACTTTTTCCCAAGATTTTTTAATATGCTTGAAGCTGGAGAGTTCGGATTTGTTTTATTTTAAGCCAGACACTTAACTATATGGACCGACAGCGCCGATTTTTCAATTTATTGACCTATATATATGTCATATAGACCTGTATGAGTCTATATACAAACGACATGTGATATGAAGAGAGAAAGATGCATTTTTCTTTTTCAGTGAACACGCGCGTCATATATAAAAGTGATACGAAAACTTGAATAAGTTGAAGAATAACTTTATAGCAGTACTTAACAATTGAGAAAGTGTATAAACTTTATACGATAAAGAAGCAGAAATAAAATTACTGTGCGTTCATTTTGAGTTTATTGTCTAAGTGAACCTGAGGTGAATGATCTAGCCTGATTGCATCATGTTTCCGAAGAGAAATCCAGGTAAAACATGGTGAAATCAGCGCCTCAGTTACCTGAAGAAAAACTTCGGAACTTTTTTGACCCTGAACCTGATGTGCTTTTCAGTGTCCTTCGATCCAAGACGTTGTTATCTTGCACAAGAAATGGAAAATTTTCTACGTGAAAACTTGATTATATTATGTTCTCGAAGAAAACTCCGAGTAAAACATGGTGTAATCAAGTCTAAAAGAAGATGTTAGGACCTGCAAGACGCCGGAAAAATTATGGATGATATTTCTTGTAGCAAGTGGTTGAATTAGAGCAACGGGCTTGACTTACTTAAAATCCTGCATTTAATGTATCTTCACGGTAAAATATTTGGTGTTGAGAGAACTGAAATGAGCTCTTCAATATTTTAGTTTTCTATCTGGAATTTTTGATCTTAGCAGAACCTGAAGCGAGAAGCCCAATCGACTCTTTGCTTATTTTGGAGGGCTTCTTCACAGTTCTTCTTTTTTGATGTTTCACAGGACAATGAAAACGAGATAGGAAACGGCACATTAATTAGTCATTAATTGCCAGTTAATTGACCATTTTTTGGTCATTAATGGTTATTTTTACATCATATTAATATCTCATTTGCATCCACCTGGGTTGTATCTCTTATTATCTCTTTACTTTTGTTAGTCTGTTTGTGTTTGGCTTGAGTGATTGTTATTCTAGGTCGCGGACCTTTGATGACTCTCGCTTTTCCCGGATAAAATAAGTTAAACTAATAACTCTGCGAAGAATTGAATTGTCAATCTATTGCACGATATTTTACCCGATTTTTTCTTCGGGAATATGGTGCACAAGGGTGAAATGTTTGATGCACAATGCGTACGGTGTGTAGCAGCACAACGAAAGCTCGTATGATCGATGAAAACTCAAAAACTTGATTATAGTCAGATTTTATGAGGAAGGAGAACACTTGGTGTACATATATCAACAGATAAACTAGAAAATAGGAATGTGCAGTTCTGGAACTGCAATGACGGTTCCGGTTCTCGAGTTAGAACCAAACCGAAAAGAACCGCAGTTCCGATTCTCCACTTAGAACCGAAATAAAAAGAACCGCTATTCCGATTCCCGACTTAGAAGAGAACCGCGGTTCTCGGTTCTCAGCTTAGAACCGGAGAAGAATTTGTCAGGCAGTAACAATTCAACAAAATAAAATTCATTTTATTGTAAACCAAAGGATTCTTTTAAATAATGGCAGGCAAATATATCTTTTTGCAGCTTTATCGATAGTGTGTTTTCATTTTGTTAAATGAGAGACAAAACAGAAAGATAAGACAGAAGAGAAACGAATGAATTATTGTTTTTTTTGCACTTCATAAAGAAATACAAATTTGATCGTTCGTTCATACTCGTTCTTTTTGGTTCAATGCTATACTTTTCTATCTTCTGATCTTAACAGTTTCAAGACCAGAAGTTACGGCCAGTATAAAGACATAATAATACTGGCTTTATCTCTTATCTGATAAGAGTCGATAGATTCGCCAGGTATAGAAGATCTCATGTAAAAGAAGTTGCGCACAAGTATACGTTATGAACGCTAAATACAGCTTAAAATAAAACTGTGGTAAGTTATCTATGATTAAAAAAGTCTCGGTTTCAAAAAAAAGGAATCGTCTACAGAACCGCGGTTCCTGTTCCATTCATAAAACTGGAATCGCGGTTTCGGTTTCCGATGAAGAACCGAAAGCAAGAGAACCGCGGTTCCGGTTCTTAACAAGAACCGAGAACCGAACATCCCTACTAGAGAATAAAAACATAGGTGAACTCAGCTTGAACACTTTATTTTTCAACGCCAGATAATTGTTAGAGTCTCAAAAGCCCTTCTAATGTACACAACGCATTAAAATTGTAAACAAATTACATGTATTGAGAAAAATAAAGCATCCCAATACCTTCGGTTCATCTAAATAACCTGAAAGAACGCATTTAAAGTATTGAATCGTTTAAAGCCTTAAAATGTGTCCAAAGAAGAATTTACAGGCTTAAACGGAAGAAATTTCGTTTTTAAAACTTGGAAAGACCTTCGAGTATTCAAAATTTCTATGTATCTACTGCTGTTTTCAAGTTTTTCAAAGTAGAGCAGAAAACCTATGTAATTCTCAGCATAAGCGCACAGCAGTATTAGAGGGAGTAAGAGAAAAAGATTGACCCTTCTTAGATTCACTTAGGTATATAGTTAAACCAAATTTTCTTAACTGGTTATGGAGATGAGAAAAATCTTCTTTCTCAGATAATTTGTCAAAACTAAGAAGTCCCTCCATACAGGTAGTTGATGTTGTTACTTGATTCAAACTCAAAAATTTCGAGGCAGAGGCATTTATGCGAAGCGAGAAAACTTATCTGTTTCATGAGAACTACATCTCTTAGTTCCCTCGAACTTGATTACATTGAGGTCTGATGTTCTAAAGTAAAGATTTTTGTGGATTAGACGAGTGTGAACCGCACTTTCTGGTAGGAGCGATCGCATACATTTTTCCGGCATTTCAGGCACCTGAAGTGGATCTTATTTGTAATATTGACGTCAATAATTAAATTTTACTGTCTAACGTGTTACATATTCCTTGATGTTGATTGACAAGAATATTCTTCTTGTCATTTTTCATACCATACTTTTATTAAAAAATGCTTTGTTTTGTTTTACTCGACAATGTAGTTTACTTACGAGAAATAAAACGATTTTTTCTTCATTCATCCATCGATGATGACATATTTCAACATTTTTTATGTGTAACTGAGTGTTTTGATCGAGGAGGCGTTTGATGAGTCAAATGATTCATCCTGTTACTTTTGCTTATATAACTGACTTATCACATATAAAACGACATGAACATAGCATTAATTTCATTTTACTGTCAACACCTAACAATATTCAAGTGGTATCATGTTACCATATTATTCACAAAATTCGTCACATATTAAGTTTCATGATGATTACGTATGGGCCTCGCTTGACAAATTAATACTGATAGAAAATGTTTGAAAGTATCATTGAATAATCCTGACTTAGATGAAAGCACCGTCAAATATCTTAGCCAATCGTTGTCGATAAATGAAACAGTTCAAAATTTAGGTTTAGATTCAACCAAAACCAACGATAACTGTTGTCAGTCAACATCTGGCTGAAATGTTACTATATAATCGAGGTTCAACAGGTCTCTCGTTATGTGATAATCAAATTACTGATCGTGGTATAGTCGATTTAGCTCATGCTCCTAAAACAAATAAAACATTGGAGTGGTTAAAATATCGGCATAAATTCAAGTAGCGATCAAGGTGTCACGCCAATATATTAAATGCTAAAAGAAAATCGAACACCACGAGGATTTATTCTTGGTGATAGTGAACTATCAAAAGAAGGAGGATTTAGAATTCTTCAAAAATCGGCGCTTGGCAGTTCATGTAGTTTCTTTTCCTCTTTTAAACAAAAAAAGAATGAACTCTTTACGACAAAGCGCTATAAAAAAGCTTGGGAAATATTTCAGGTGTAACCCTTATATAGAGATAAAGCTGTATGAAATACTCAATTTTAGAACCTCTAGGAAAATGCCTGTAAGTTTTTTATACAAGGTCATACAGAGTTGTGCGAGGCTTCATTTTGATCAGAAAATTTTGCTCTGCAAATCTATGTGTTTAGAAAGATTTTAATTGCATAAATATCCAGAAAAAAACTATTATTTGAAGACCTGGTTTTTCGACGCTCCTACAAAACTTGTTCAAAATCCGCAAAAAACCGCTTTTGTAACCAAAAGCGATACAGATTCTCAAAGTAGACACTTTAGGCTATCTCTCCATGTCCGTATCTCAAAAATCGATTTTTTGACCCAAAATTTCGGAGGGAGCCTTATGGCAATGAATCTAAATAAATCAAGCAACTACAAAATTTGACTGTAAAATACAATTGACGTTTTTGTTTGCTATAGCTAAATAATTGTCCGTCATCTATCTGTGTATTAATTTATGCTTTGTAGATTTCATTTCGCACGAAGCATCGTGCCAGTCCTCTATAAGCAAGATATAAATGTGATGCATTCGTAATATTGAAAAAGAATTTGCACAAGTGCCATGTGTCTTCTTGAAATTATCTCGAACTGCTTCTAAGTGGTGTAGTTCATGTTATAGCAAGACAAAGAAGATAAAAAAATGACTCCGCGGCGGGGAATCGAACCCCGGTTTCCCGCGTGACAGGCGGGGATACTAACCACTATACTACCGCGGACACATTTCCTCTTTCACATACTGATTGTCTTCAATTCCATCATCGTTCAACTGTCTCCGAACAAACATTTCGGCGACAGTTGAACGATGATGGAATTGGAGACAATCAGTATGTGAAAGAGGAAATGTGTCCGCGGTAGTATAGTCGTGACAAGGCTGTACTGTGCTTCTGTGGATGACAATGTCAATTCATTTGCAGGAAACGTCCTGTTCTTTAGACGATAAACACATTCATCTCTTTTTCACCCATTCATTGATCCATGATACCAGGGATTTGTTATTTCAGATTTCGAGTAAGATTCATCCAACAGTATACCCTTCTGCCCCAAAACATTCAAGAAATATCTCTACATGTGCATGTGGCTGCAGTATCGAATCAGCTATTCACTACTTCTTAAAGCAAGTTTCTTTTCAACCCTCCTCCTTCAGTATTCTTTTCCTCTTCAACATCACACCTGTGTCGTTTTCTTCGCTCGACATCAAAGTGTGAAGTGCTTCACTAATTTTTAACAAAAAACTGACGGCTTTAAGTGAAAAACGCTTCCCATTACTCGTTGATATTGGAACACAAAATCTTGAATTATATACAATAATTTTATGTAATGTAACTGTCGATATCGGAATACAACGCGATTTATCTCAGTTTATTAATTACCTGATACGATTTGAGAACGTTGACGAATGTCACAAATTTATACAACAAGTAAAAGGCGAAAGAATTATACTGATTATTTCTGAGAAGTTTAGTGCAGATTTAATTCCACAAATTCCACATCTTCAACGAATACATGCCATTTATATTTACTGTTTAAATGGTACTAGTGCAAAAAATGACAAAAAAGCAGTGATACAAAGGTGAGGGACTATGTATAAAGATTATTAAAAAAAGCAATAATTGTTTCAGCAAATTGACTTTTCAGTACCCCTTGATGATCTGAACCGCTCATCTATGATAAAATCGTTATAAGTCTTTTAGCAATTTTCGGTCAGAAAATAACGAAAGAAATATCGACACTTTTTCGTTCTCTCAGGCGAACAGACGTAGAATAACAGTCTTCACATTTTTTCCAAAACGTGGTTTTCAGCGAGAAAAATGTTTTTTTCGTCGTTTTTTGAACGGAAATTGCTTAAAAAACTTGATGGGACAAACTTCATCTTTTTATATTTGTACGTCTTTCTGCACAAAACAAATGCTTGAAGATCAGAGTATTCTGGTATCTCAGAGCTTTATAGCGTTTGAGGTACTCAAAAGTTGGTGACTCGGTACTTTCTAGTCCTATCTCCTGAAGAATCTATAAACGAATCTGCATTCACCTTACTCGACATTTTTGCTTTTTGATACTCAGATCAAACCCATCTTCATAACAAATAAAATGGAGCTAATCGAACAATTTTCACAAGGTCAGCAAAAACGACAACGATGTGGAAAAGCTGATATTAAACTGAGTATGTATCGTCCACCACTACCAACTGCCGCTGTGGACCAATCCCTACCACTCTCAAAAACAAATACTGAATTTATGTGGTTTCAATTATTGATTAATCTAAAACGTTTGACAACAGGTGGTTCATCTGAATTAGCCGAATTTGCCAGACAACAATTAATTGACGTATGTAAACGACATTATCAAGATAATCCAGTTCATTACGTCTTATTGATGAATTTGAAAGAACATATTGTCCAACATCATCCATTCGTTGGTATACACGTGAGTCATTTATTTATCGCCTTCTGAATAAAGCATTATGAGAAACTAATATTGATATGCTCGTTTTATTTCACGAAGTCATTCGTGATTTAAAAGAACAACTGACCACTTCCGATGAACAAGACTTGTCAGGTGAACTGACTGTCTATCATGGCCAGCTATTATCGGTGTCCTCTCAGTTCGTCCCTAATTGACTTCTCAATTCGTCCCACGAAGCTTTTTTTCTCAGTTCGTCCCATCAACACTTCTCTCTCAGTTCGTTCCATATATTTTTTTCTGATCTATCAAATATCTATGTGCGCGCCTAAAAATAAATAAAGTGCTGTACCATCGTTTAGTCGACGGCGATGGTATTGTAGACAATACAAGGTCCGTGTACGTAGCAAAATACCATCGAACAGTTTAGACGACGGCGATGGGTATTGTACACAAGACTAGGTGCGCGTACCGGGCAAAATGTGTCGTGTTAGCCACTACTATCACACATTTAAATCTAAATAAGTTAAATTGTTTTGTTCATCAAAATGTTAATTTTCACGTCTACTGAAAAAGATAAACCAGTTTTGAATCATAATGGGTTTCAATACACCAAAAAACGAGCAAACAAAACAAATAATCAATGCCATGTATTTTTCTATTTCCCAAGTATTCGTTAAATCTAATTCTTTTTTGAAAGCTAAAAGGAGGGGAGCGTATTTGATCAAAAAACGGTCCCTCATTCTTTTGTCTTATTTTGACTGGACTTTTGTTGAAAAGACATTTGCACACATTGCCCCGTTGTTCTTATGGAAAATAAGCTCAAAATATGTATTTAACCTTGGTTGTTTTGAGATTCCATCAGAGAATGTCGTTCTTAGGAAAAGTAACATTCTTGAAAAATCCAGCATACGTTTCCCACAAACCTTGGTATGAAAAGATAGCCAAAAAAGATTCGCCGAAAAAATTGGAAAATAATCAAAGTGGTCTAAAAATTCCAAGAGAAAGATGGTCCAATATAGTTTTTAACGGTGATTCCAAATATGGTGTTGGTTTGAGAAAAACTTGAAATTTGATGATGAAAACTGCAAAATATGAGTGAATTTCCTTGATTTTTCTCGTATTTATATTATAATGAACTGAGCCAATGGTATGTAGAGTTTGTTTACTCAAAATATTGTACAGCTTTCCAAGAGTTATTTTTCTGTGCTAAAGACTAGTTGCATCCTCTCTTGCTTATGGGAGAAAATAGGAGTAGTAATATGGTATGTAACTATGGTTCATATACGATTTTATTCGGTTTTTCAGTGGGTATTTTTCTATATCAAATACAAGTCGGATCATTGTTTTTATATGGAGAAAAAAGTACTTAAAACATCGCTGGTATCGTCTTATTGAGTACAATTTGTCTCTTGTAGAAACTATAAGTGACTCGGCCAATGATGGTTAAAGGTTCTTTATATAAGATTTTGTAGAGCAGGTCAAGGGCTGTGTTTCCATACCAAATACAAGTTGCATCCTCGTTTGCATATGGCGAAAAAAGCACTTAAAACATCCATGATACCGCGTTTCATGTCAATTTGTCTGTTGTAAAAATAATTTCTTCGTATTGAAATGATGTATACGTATTGTTCATAGAGTATTTTATTCAGTCTTTCACTGGCTATCTTTTCATACCTAGGTTTGTGGGAAACGTATGCTGGATTTTTCAAGAATGTTACTTTTCCTAAGAACGACGTTCTCTGATAGAATCTCAAAACAACCAAGGTTAAATACATATTTTGAGCTTATTTTCCATAAGAACAACTGGGCAATGTGTGCAAATGTCTTTTCAACAAAAGTCCAGTCCAGTCCAGTGCTTCATAGCAGAGTTGTAAGCACAATGCATTTGATTCATTCAGTGTACTCTTTATCGTGTCTGTAAAGAAGCATGTCAAACAACAATGTGCTTTCTTTTCTTCATATTTAAATCAAAAACCTTGAGAAGTTGAAGTACTTTATTTGAGATGGAGAAGATGATGAAAAAAAAGAATTGGATAGAAAACAAACAAAGCGTAATTAATAACTCGAATTAATTTATTAGATGATACGCGCAATAGAATGGCGTTTATGTTCGCGGCTGCATTTAAGATATGGTAGAGAAGCATCATTCGAGCAATCAAAAGTAAAATGGTAAAAAAAGTTGGACTGCGGTTGATCGACAAGCAATGCTCACAAAATGGTGAACAAATACACTTTCTTTTACACAGATCGAATTTGAATTATCTTCAATTATCGACGAAGTAACAATCATTAGACCTGCAACTCAGCTGTTAGTCACTCTTGCTGCTATGAGGCTTTAAATTAATGTCGATTATATTTTACCTTAAGGATACCACCCCTTATTTTTTCACCTTGTCACAAAATGCGAGCACACGTCCAATCGAGTTCAAATTTATACCAGAGATAGAAGAGCGAAAACGGAAATCGAAGTATTTTTTCTCAGAATTTTGGGACATGATCCTCTATGGGTTTCCTGGAAAACTTTAGTTTATATGCAGTCACATTATGACCCCTCAAAAAAATGGTCCGATCGAGTCGAAATTTTTACTACAAATACTCCAGACCCTATCTCAGAATGAAAATTTTTTTTCGAAAAATATGCTTTCCTTCTCGAGACATACTAAAAATGTTGAAAATCGCACAAAAAAAGTCAGGTTTTTTCAGGTTTTTTGCGTAGTTTTCAGCATTTTTCATATATCTAGAGAACAAAAGTATGTTTTGCGAAAACAAATTTTCATTCTGAGATAGGGTCTGGAGTATTTGTAGTAAAAATTTCGACTCGATCGGACCATTTTTTTGATGTGCCATAATTCTGAGAAAAAATACTTCGTTTCGCAAAATACTTCCGTTTTCGCTCTTCTATCTCTGGTATAAATCTGCACTCGATTGGATGTGTGCTCGGCATTTGGTAAAAAGGTGAAAAAAGAGAGGGCGGTACCCTTAAGACTTAATTGTGGAATATAACTTGATATCTTGAACACTTTTCTTAAAATTTCACTGATACAGATGTTCCTAGTTCGGAAAAAGTCTTTTGCCACACATAAGATCAAATTTACCTTCTATTCTGTAGAAATATTCTTCCTGGTGGAAAGTTTATTTATTTATTCTGTTTATAGTATCTGACTTATTTTTCCTCAATTTATCAGCACTTACAGCTAAAACCCATTAAACTTTTTAATAATAAAATTATGAAACCGATAAAATACTTGACTATTTAAAGTTGTTTTTTGTTTATTCGTTATTCGGGAACTATAGTTAGTTTTTTCTACGTCAATTTTAAAAATAATTAAAATTTAATAATACACAACCTACACCAGCTAATGTTCATCTATGATTTCACTCGGTCCCTGGACATTTTGTGTTTTGTTCTTGATAAGAAATAAATTTTACGAAATTTTCAGAACCACTAAAAGATTTAATATTGATATACCCGGTGACACACTATAAGCCATATAAATCAACAATTTCATTTTATGACAATATAAGTATCCTTTACAATTGTCTATGCAACTTTTCTTATGCTTAGTTAGTATGGAAACGTACACATACGCACACCTTCCCTGTTTATTATGGCTTTAGCTGTTTATTCGATTCATCTACATATATCAGTTCTAAACATTAATAACGCTATAATCTTTAATTAAATTCGTTGAGTAGTATAAATAATTTAGAAAATTTCCTTTTTAATCTGCATACATGATTTCTAATATTTCCCTGATATCATCTTTTTCTTATCGATATATATTTCTGCTTTTCTATTAAATAGCTGAACAGACATCAATTAAGATGCCTCCTTATGCGTCCAAAAAGATGGAATTTCATAAATCTTCCAAAAGTCACGATTAACTGACTAGTGCATCACTGAAGAGATAGCGATCCGGTTGAAAAATGCATAGTGAAGTGAAAATGATAGAAAATAAGCCTAAACAGCGGCTTTATAATTTATTTCTCATTTAATCAGTTTCTATAAACCAGAAATGCTTCATAGCAGAGTTGTAAGCACAATGCATTTGATTCATTCAGTGTACTCTTTATCGTGTCTGTAAAGAAGCATGTCAAACAACAATGTGCTTTCTTTTTAACATATTTAAATCAAAACCCTTGAGAAGTTGAAGTACTTTATTTGAGATGGAGAAGATGATGAAAAAAAAGAATTGGATAGAAAACAAACAAAGCGTAATTAATAACTCGAATTAATTTATTAGATGATACGTCCAACTGCAGTTGATCGATAAGCAATGCTCACAGAATGGTGAACAAATAGACTGTCTTTTATAAAGCAAAATATTTACTTACACAAATCTACTCGAAAACGACAGAAAGAGCTCCTAGTCTACGGGTGGTGGTTTGTGGTATTCATAAATGTTTTCCGAACAAGCTTGTTCTAAAGTCTTTCCTGGAAGATAAGGTACGAAGAAACATAAATGAAGAGACTTCTTCTCGATCTCTCATCATTTTTTAATCGCAGTAGGAAAGAATGATATTAGAAAAAGTGCACTTTTGTCTCTGTAATCATATATTTCATTTCATGTATTTCTCAATAGATGATAACGTGGATTAAATGGCAAGAAAGCGTTAAATGTACACGAACAAAGATGTACTGTATTTTAAAAAAAGATGATCGTTGAGTTAACTCCGACTACGAAAGCTAACTCAGATCAACAAGCAGTTTCTTTATATCGCTGTTTCTCATAGCTTCACTCACTCTTACCGCTATGTTATACTGCGGTGTCTATAGTTTGTCTAAATTTCTTTCCGTTATTAAAGAATAGGGATTATGACCGAAACTGATAATACATAAAATAAAGCTGCTTGTATATAATAGTTACGACAGATGTAGTGACATTCTAGTTCACTAATTGCATGCGTTCCAGCCAGTGGTTTTTTGTTCATTAGATATTCCGTAACCATTGTTAGTCTTTTCTACTTGTATTTAAATCATAATTAAAATTTAATAATGTACAACCTACACAATTTAAATATTTTCAAAATTATGTGAAAAAGAAGTAAAAGGCTTTATTCATTATGAAAAGTCCTCTGAAACGGAAATCGTCATATCTATGTAATTTTTTTGAAATTCCATTGAACGGAAAACAATTAATTATATAGCGAAAATAAACGAAGAAAACATTTTCATCATCCATAGTTACATGGTTTCACATATTTTGCTTCTCACAAATATATAGAGTAAAAGTATAACACGGGATATTGATTGTACGATGACGGAATGAAGAATGTTCTGCTCAGAGGTGTAACCGCTATCAAAAATGCGATACCACTACCGGAGCTGCACCAATACTGGCCGGTATACGAGTGACCGGTTCACTGATCGGTACCGGCTCGTCTTGATCATATTTTGCAGAAATAAAAATACTTTTTCTCTTTACTGTGAACTTTATCTTTCGTTATCAAAGGGAACGCGGAGCATGGAACACAATAGAGTGGTTAACTGTCGTATATGGTTGAAAAATTGATACAAATAAGACGAATAAAAAATTTAAAAAAATCGATAGCAGGGACCATTTACGATAAGGGTGAGTCTATTGGCCAAGCTATTGGTTGGAGGCAAAAGACTTGGTTGGAAAAATGCCAACATGAGGAAATAACTGTTGTCCTCACAAAAGAAGTCTTTCGTTATCAGTACTAAAAAACCATAAACGCTGATTTGTAAACTTTGCAACCGTATAATTCCTAACACACAGCGTTTTCTTTGAAAAAAAACAGGTATCATCTTTCGGAAAACAGAATATACGTGCACTATTTGAACTTACGCCGGTGACACTATTTTTTCATTTAACCATATCGCACTGGAGAGAAACTTGAAATAACTTATACTTCTCGCGAATCAGAACTCATTTACAAACAACTCAAAAATTAAAAAGGCTTTAAAAGAACAACATTTAATTTAAAATGCTCGGCTTCGGAGAATAAACCACGTTTCCGACATAGCTTTTATACTAAGTTTGCCTGGCGACGGAAATAGCTCCTAGTTGCCACTCCCGGGAGTGCCAATAGCTCCTTGTTAATACTCCCTGGGAGTGCCAGTAGCCATTGGTGTAACCTCTGTTTATTCTCGAGTCGTTCATCGACATGAATGCACTCTCACCTCCCTTTCTCTTGCGTCACGTCACTAGGGACCTTGCCGAATTGTCAGAAACCCGGCAGCTAGACGTTGAATTTGAGACGTTGCAGGACCGGGTTTTTGACAATTCGGCAAGGTCCCTAGTGACGTGATGCAAGAGAAAATCAGTGATCTGAACATGACGTATCAAACTATCACCTATAATCAAGTGATTTCGAAAGGGAGGTGAGAGTGCATTCATGTCGATGAACTACTCGAGAATAAACAGGGGTTAAACCAATAACAAAAAAAGAATGAACTCTTTACGACAAAGCGCTATAAAAAAGCTTGGGAAATATTTCAGGTGTAACCCTTATATAGAGATAAAGCTGTATGAAATACTCAATTTTAGAACCTCTAGGAAAATGCNTCAACACTTCTCTCTCAGTTCGTCCTATATATTTTTTTCTCAATTCGTCCCAGATATTTATATTTGCGCCTAAAAATAAATAAAGTGTTGTACCATCGTTTAGTCGACGGCGATGGTATTGTAGACAATACAAGGTCCGTGTACGTAGCAAAATACCATCGAACAGTTTAGACGACGGCGATGGGTATTGTACACAAGACTAGGTGCGCGTACCGGGCAAAATGTGTTTTTTTCCGATAATAGGTTGAAAATTTTTTTAGGACAACGTAGAAGTTTTCTCTAGCTATGATCTTGCAACCTGTGTTGGAATATAAATTTAGATATTCTTAAATACACAAATTTGGTTTTAATCTGATACTAGTCAATTTCCAATTCTTGAAAACATGAAACAATTACGATATTTTGATCTAATAAAAACTATTTCAAAGAATTTATTCAATTCACACTATTGCAGTCGTGAAATTATCGAACAAACAATAGTTAATCACTGTCAACAGTATGAACTGGATATGAATGGTAGAAGATTAAGAATATGACCATAAAAAATGATAATAGCTGCTCGAATGATGGACTATCGCCATGAGCAATGGATTGTCAATCAAGGACAAATGTGCCAGACTGGTTATATCATGATCATAAATTATAAAACATTACAATTATTTTTTGGTAACTTATTTTGAACTATTTTTCCTCATGATGTTCTTGTTTTATGCTAGAATTTTCGTCAAAACGGCAAGTTTTAATAATTCTGTATCAACTTTGGGTATATGTTCAGAATCAACAGGAAATGAAACATAACGTCCTGTATGTGTAAAACCTTGTCTTATTTTCCAATTAATTTGATTTGTTTTACTTGAAACAACGAGTAAATAAACACGTTTAGCATTAAAATATTCTTTGGAAATGTTCTAAAGCAAACGTAAATTACATTTAAATTTTCTTATCGTTTTTATTGGTTTTTCTCTTCACATATGTTTTCTCTGTTGCGTCTCACTTGTATCCTCATAACTTTTTCTTTTCAAAAAAAATATTTTCAAGTAAAATTGCAAACGAACTTTGTCCCACAAAATGAGGTTCATGGACATGCCAAATATTTATTCGATAAAAGACGAAGGAAAACGAATATCCTACCTTGGGATTACCGTTGCCGGTGTGGAATGCTGATAAGTCAGACTTATCAGCTTTGAGATAGTCCGATACACTTGGGAGTCATCCATCCCTCTATTTGTTATCAAACTACACCTGTGACTAGTCTGACGCAGAGTTCTTTCAACAAGTAGAAAAGTGGGATCAGTTCTATTGTTCAGAAACCATTGTTTGAACTGTTAACGTGTATACCATAAGTACAGCATGCCAGGTACGAATATGATATTCACTTCGTCAGAAAATCACTTGTTTTGCAGATAATTCATAATTCTATGTCTTTAAGGATAATATTATAACATTTTAAATTTAACGTAGACTAAAATGAATTATATATGGTTAGTGTGTCTGCCACAAGGGGGATACGATCTCTCAAAAGCGCACACACTTATAAGTGACAGTCACTGTAAGCGTCACCTAGTCACTTTAAGTGTCACTTCAAGTGTCACGTTTATTTTTCTGTTTAAACAAGATTTGAGCAGTAGTGATGGTAAAGTCGGGTTTCGCTACTTCAACTTTCGCCAGTAGACATTCGCCTTATTGGCGATTGGTGAATGTCGCCGAGACATTCGCCAATACCCCTAAACTATTGACGAATGTCCACACAACATTCCCCATAATTGGCAAATGTCTCGGCGAATCCTTTTGCTAAAGGAGTCTTAACTTTTGTGAAGGCAGCAGCCGTTCTTTTTAGTCCCTTTCTGTGAAAATAGTCTACTAATCGACATTTGCCAATAATGATACCCCTTTCGCCAATGCCCTTAAACTTTTGGCGAATGTTCACGCGACATTTACCAATTGACGAATGTCTATTGGCGAAGGTTGTACTGGCGAACGGCGACAAATCCGTAGTGGTTGCTATTTTTCCTCCCTCTAGTAAGAAAAAGTATTAGATTTCACCTTTTGCTCAAAAGTTACATGGTATTTTAATGTTATGTTGCTTTATAAAAAGAAGTCCAGAGGTGTAAGAGATCTTTTTCTCGCACACATTTTAATGCCCATGTATGTGTTAGGGCTATTGAGCCAACAGCTAATATCTAACTAATATTCTTCCTTGATAATTGCGCTTGTTCAACTTCAAACGTTCGATTTTGTTTCAACTATGTTATTCTACTCAAGTAAAATTATCACAATTACGTATAAAAAGAAAACGGCTGAAAGAATAAGAGAGACGTTACCCGATGACGTTACTTCAAGTGAGTAGCATACATAACTGAACGAACGATTAGTAATAGAGGAAGAGAAAGGCTGTGATAAACCCATCGCCTGTCTATACACAGTAAAATAACAACAGTAAATGGAAAGAAAAATAACTGTTGTCTTGTCACTAAACCGGCCAATCTGTACTGAAAGGAATAGGTCTAGAAATAGTTTTCCATTTTTACTGACATTTATAGATGCTTTCTAACTTTGTTCGTTAAACTGATGAAAACAAACAGACTTGTATCACGCGGAACAGTCGCAGTCCATACATTTTATATTTTGAAACATATAGGGTTGAATTTTTGACTTTCCGAGAAGAAGCGCAGGTGTAAGTGACCCTTAAACACTTAAAGTGACACTTAACGCGAAGGTGCACACACTTAAAGGCACTTCAAGTGAGGTTTTCCCCCTACTGGTCTACTATCCATATAGGCTATAAGATCACAAAAATAGCATATAGTAATAAAAAATATCTATAAACCCTTGCGAATCGGCACATTTTCCAAAATGATCTTTTGATTCTTTGCATCTAGGATCAATCTGAATAAAC